AGGGTTTAGGGTTTTAGGGTTTAGGGTTTAGGGTTTTAGGGTTTAGGGTTTAGGGTTTTAGGGTTTAGGGTTTAGGGTTTAGGGTTTAGGGTTTGCGTGCAGTTTGGGCCTTTAGGCCGCGAGTTGTTTTTGTTTAATCGGGTGGTGGGTGGAGGGAGAAGAAGACAGCCCTCTCTTGCGTTTTGCTGCTGCAGCAGCAGCAGCAGAAGCAGCAGCAGCAGACGTGTGCTGCTGCTGCTGTGCGAGGAAGAGTTTGAAGCCCTCGTGAAGCTGCTGCCTTGGATTAAAACACAACTCAGTGAGGTTAAGAAACGCATCTAACCTCTTCTTGCTGCTGCTGCTGCTGCTGCTGCTGCTGCAGTAGCTTTGCGTGCTCTAGCTGCTGCTGCTGCTGCTGCAGCAGCAGTAGCTTTGCGTGCTCTAGCTGCCGCTGCTGCTGCTGCAGCAGCAGTAGCTTTGCGTGCTCTAGCTGCCGCTGCTGCTGCTGCAGTATGTTTGCGTGTTCTAGCTGCTGCTGGTGCTGCTGCTGCTGCTACTGCAGTAGCTGTGTGCGCTGTAGCTGCTGCACGTGCAGCAGCAGTCGCTCTGTTTGCTGTAGGTGCTGCTGCTGCTGCTGCTGCAGTGGCTTTGTATGCTCTAGCGGCTGCTGTACCTGCAGCAGCACTAGCTTTGTTTGCTCTAGCTTGCTGCTGCTGCTGCAGCAGCAGTAGCTCTTGTGTGCTCTAGCTGCTGCTGCTACAGCTTCGGCTGTGTAGCACCGCAACAGCAGCAGCAATATGCCTAGCGGCTGCTGCTACTGATTTTGCTGCAGCTGCTAGGACCCGCTTCTTCAGTTGTCTCATTTTAATGTTGCTGCTGCTGCTTCTGCTGCTGCTAGTGCTGCTGCTTCTGCTGCTGCTAGTGCTGCAGTTGAAGCTGCTGCGTTTGCTGCTGCTGCTAAAGGGAAGTGTTCGCTCGCTGCGCGACAACGTGTAGTTTCCCCGTGTTATTAGGGACTAGGATTAGGGTTTAGGGTTTAGGGTTTAGGGTTTAGGGTTTAGGGTTTAGGGTTTGGAGAGAGGGTGAACAGGAGGGCCCAGAAGCGCACGCCGACGGAAGGCAGACAAATGCATTAAAAATAAATATATTTATTTATTTATTTATTTATTTATTTATTTAATTAAAAGAAGATAAATAGAGAGCAAAGATATGCGTAAAGCAACTGAAGTAGATGAAGGACAAGACCCTAAACCCTAAACCCTTTGATGTTTGTAATAATTTTTTAATTCAAACCCTAAACCCTAAACCCTAAGCCCTAAACCCTAAAGAATAAACCCAAAACCCTAAACCCTAAACCCTAAAAACCCATTAAGTTGATGGCCTCGCCACTGCAGAAACAGCCCCGCTGAGGGCATGCTAGGGTTTAGGGTTTAGGGTTTAGGGTTTAGGGTTTTAGGGTTAGGGCTGTTACGGGTCTGTCTTCTACGTCCGGGTGGTTCTTTTAGATTCTTTTTGATTAGCAACCGAGGGTTTAGGGTTTAGGGTTTAGGGTTTACGTGAGGTCGTGGGCGCCGGCGACGAGACAGGGCCTAGGGTTTAGGGTTTAGGGTTTAGGGTTTAGGGTTTAGGGGGCGAACTTCCCCGTCCTTCCATCCCACTGCTTTCACTTTAGATGCCTTCCGCACCCATGGAGTGTCTCAGGAGCAGCAACAGCAGCAGCAACAACAAAAACAGCAACAGCAGCAACAGCAGCAGCAGCAGCAGCAGCAGCAGCAGCAGCAGCAGCAGCACGGACCTTGACTGTCTTATTGCCTCAACACTCGAAGACCTAGCAGAGTTCTCCATCTCCCCCAATCAGCAGCAGAAACAGCAGCAGCAGCAGCAGCAGCAGCAAAATGCTGCTCTGCAACAGCAACATGCGCCACTGCAGCAGCAGCAGCAGCAGCATGCGCCACTGCAGCAGCAGCAGCAGCAGCAGCAGCCCTGTCCGCCGGTAATCCTCGCATCAGAAAGGGCAGCATGTGCTGTAGAAGCTGCAGCAGCAGCTGCTGCTGCATCTGCTACTGCAGCCACTGGTGTGGAGAAAACACCAGCAGCAGCAGCAGCAGCAGCAGCAGCAGCAGCAGAACTTGCGACGGCCGCAGCAGCAGCATCAACAGCATCAACAGCAGCAGGAGCATCAGACTGTGATCCTTTAAGTTTTTGTGTACAGGGGTTGGAGCGGGAGCTGCAGCAGCTGAGGCAGTCTCTCCCCGTGCCTGCTGCTGCTGCTGCGAATAGCCCCTCAGCAGCAGCAGCAGCAGCAGCAGCAGCAGCAGCAGCTGGAGCTTCTTCGCCTGATGATGACTCCGGTCTTTTTAATTTGCTGCAGACCCTGACGAATGTGCTGCAGGCAGTCGGGAAGGAAACTTCTGCTGCTGCTGCTGCTGCTGCTGCTGGTTCTGGCGATGATTCAGGTACAGCAGCAGCAGCAGGAGCAGCAGAATCATCGGCGGCAGCAGCAGCAGCAGTAACTCCGGACGTTCTTGCTGCTGCTCTGCAGAGCTTGAATGGTGATGCTCCCCCACTTGCAGCAATAGCTGAGCCAGTGCAGCAGCTGCTGCAGCTGTACGAGCCTTGGCTGGAGCAGCAGCAGCAGCAGCAGCAGCAGCAGCAGGCAGCAAGTGTGCCGGCTGATGAGTTGCGGCGTTATGAGAAGCAAGTTGCTGTTTACAGGCGTATTGTCTTCTTGTGTGAGCAGCAGCAGCAGCAGCAGCAGAAGCAGCAGCAGCAGCAGCAGCAACAGCAGCAGCAGCAGCAAGCAACGGGGACAGTAGCAGCTGCTGCAGCAACAGCAGCAGCATGGGAGGTGCTGCTTGAGCTGCAGCAGAAGCTGGAGGAAGCCTGTAACTTAGGAGACATTCCCCCTGAAGTCCAGCAGCAACTCGCTGCAGCAGAAGCAGCTGCTCCGCCATCTGCTGCTACTGGCCTAGTGTCGCAGCAGCAGCAGCAGCAGCAGAAGCAAGTAGCTGGAAGCAGCACAACGGGCGCTTCCACTTCACCGGCCTCTGGGAACAGCAGCAACAGCAATAGCAGCAGCAGCAGCAGCAACAGCAGCAGCAGCAGCAGCAGCAGCAGCGGAGTAGTTGGAGATGAGCTTTCGGAGTTCTTTGATTTTGTTGCTGCGCTGCAGTCTGCTGCAGCAGCAGAAGGCATAGATCTGCTCGACGGTAATTTAATGCAGCAGCTGCTGCAAGGTAATGATAAGGACCCGCGAATCACTACGCTTCTAGACAATGTAGAGAAGCAGCAGCAGCAGCAGCAGCAGCAGCAGCAGCAAAGGCAGCAGCAGCAGCAGCCACAAGGGCAGCAGCAGCAGCGCGAACTGCAGCAACCAGGCCAACAGCAGCAGCAGCAGCAGCAAAAGAAGAAGGAAATGATGCAGGTTAAAGAAGCAGAAGAAAGATGTAGACAGCAGTAGTCCTTGCTGCTGCTGCTGCTGCAAAAGCAGCAGCAGCAGCAGCGGCAGCAAGCCACCAAAAACGCGTCCTTGTTAAAGAAATCGCTGCTGCTGTGCTGCAGCAGCAGCTGCAGCAGCAGCCACAGCAGCAGCAGCTGCTGCAGCAGCACTCAGACGGCTTTGTTCTGTTGCTGCGTTTGCTGCAGAGCAGCAGAAAAAGGACACAAAAAGATGCATGGGCAAGCTTAGGGTTTAGGGTTTACGGCTAAAAAACTAGGGTTTAGGGTTTAGGGTTTACGAATTAGGGTTTAGAGTTCAGGGCTAAATAATTTAGGTTTAGGATTGAAGACGTATTAGGGTTTGCGGCTAAAAAAACTAGGGTTTAGGGTTTGGGGGTTATGAATTAGGGTTTAGGTTAGGGTTTAGGGTTTAGGGTTTAGGGTTTAGGGTTTAGGGCTTAGGGCTTAGGGTTTAGGTGGGGTTTCTGTATCTTGGCAATACTAGAGCCCTGAACCGCTGCTTGAGTCGCTGCTGCTGCTGCCACCGTTGCTGCTGCTGCTGCTGGTGCAGCCGCAGCTATGCAGCAGCAGCAGCTGCTGCTGCTGCATAGCGTGCTGCTGCTACACTGCGTACTGACGCTGATGCCGCTGCTGCCGCAGCAGGAGCAGCATTAGCAACTAAAACGGCGATGTTGAGTGAGAAAGGCGCAGCATCTGCTGCTGGCATTGGTGCTGCAGTTGCTGCAGCAGCAGCAGCAGCAGCAGCAACACCACCACCATCACCACCACCAACACCAGCAGCAGCAGCAGAACGAGCAGCAGCAGGAGCAGCTGCCGTCTATTATTTACTCCACCAGTTGCTGTCTGTATTCATGACGGTAAGCTGCTGCAGGTCGTCCTGTGTGCCAGCAGCAGCAGCAGCAACAGCCCGCAGCAGCGGAGCAGCAGCAGGCAGCATCCACGAACGAGTGCCGAAGGCTAAGAAATGAGCGTGGTTAGCGAACGACCACTTCCTATTAACAGCAGGAATATAAACAACAAAACGAAGAATCTCAGGGACCCTCTGCTGCTGCTGCTGCTGCTGCTGCTGGGGTTGCTGCTGAGTCTGCTGCTGCTGCTGCTGCTGCTCAGCTTTCAAATCGGGAGAGAGAGACCTCAGCTGCAGCGCAGATAGCTTGCTTGTCTTGCTCCTGCTGAGCTGCCTCCGTCTAGGCCTCTGCTGCTGCTGCTGCTGCTGCGTTTGTTGTTGCTTCACGCCCCACAGCTGCAGCAGCTGCAAAGTTAGCTCATATATCTTGTGCTGCTGCTGCGGAGGCCTCGGCATCCAGCAAATGTCCTTCCGATTCAGCAGCTTTGTCAACTCCCGTGGAAGAGGGTGCACCATAGCTCGCCTGCAGCAGCAAGTGCAGCAGCAGCAGCAGCAGCAAGTGCAGCAGCAGCAGCA